TGATCTAGTTGATCATTTTTGAACGATTTTTGCTCGTTATTATTGTAATGGCGCGCAAATCATCCAAATATTTTTAATTGCTTTGCATATTGTAGTTTATTTTCTTTTTTGTTAGTTTTTTGCATCATATTGCATGCACACCGTGCTTTGTGCCTGCCCCAAGCATACGTTTTGAACATTTTTGGTAAGAGTGCCTTAAGACGTTCCGCGGTGGTGCTTTACGTAAAAGCACCCATAGACAGGATTGTCATTTTACTATACTAACGTTACAAATGTCCGGGTTTTGTTCTTTTTTCACGTCCGAAGCAAAAAGGAAGGCGTTTTCTTGCAGCGTAAAAATGCAAATGGCGTATCGTGCGGCGCAAAATTGTACGGCGCAGGTGATGCGTAAAATTTCACTCAGCCCAAGCTTTGCGAGATCTACCTCTCGAAACTAATAGGTAGAGAATTAGTGTAGGTGTCAGCTTAACTAGTCGACAGGCGCGCCGAACCTTCAAGAACAGACACTTCTTGAATGGGAGCAAATACGGTAGTTAGTGTGCTTACTAACTTACTGAACAATTAGGGTGTCGAATTAGCCCCCTCTATAAAGAAGCGATGAGACGATGTCGCGCCTATGTTGTAACACCCTAGAAATTCCTTTCCTTTAAATACACACTTTACTCTTTAAAAAATACGTTTTAGGAATATCTAAGACATTACTGCCACCGTGAAAACGGCTAAGGCAACTATCAAAGATACACAGCGGAAGACTTGAAAACCGAAACTATTTAAATAACACAATCTAAAATACCAAACCAACGAAAATAAAGTTGAAAATCAACAAAACCAAAGCCAATTAAAATCCACTACAACTTGGAACCATTTAAGGCCCTTATTCAAAACCGAAACAACCAATCTTTTGTGTTAGTCCATAAAGTAATATAATAAAATATTCAATACATAAAACACATCATATTCTAATAGAAGCTAGCATGATTCTCTCTTCACTCATGCCTCGTCATGAACATGCTTCAATACCTGAAAAGTGTATCTCTACTCGCCCCCACTACTCTCCATTAAAATGGATCATCGTAGGGCCAAGATAAAGACATGGCCAGACACAAACAACACACACAATCAACAAAGCTGAGTACATAGGCGTAATTAAACACACTAACATGCATTATCCTATCATCACACACACTTACCTCATTGCACCTGTTTACAAGCACACACAACAATCAACAAGACACTTTAACTAGACACTAAAAATTCATTTAGCGTTGATTACGCATCGAACGGGTTTCCAACTAATCCTATCCCAATAAATTGGGGTTAACTGACACGGGAGCTAACCGTGCCAGCAACAAACTAAAAGGAATGGTGTCCTTTGAATAAGTGTATTATTCTGATAGCGGGTTCAAAATTAATAGAAAGCTAATATATTTTGTAAGGTCAAGTGATCGGAATGCCTGGGTGGAGGCCGCTTTCGATCAGTAATATTAATATAATTAATATTACAGCTTAATCTTGACTGAACCCTTCGGGTCACACCCAAGCAAAATATACAAACCAACTCGACGAATTAATTCGGAAGAAATTAATTCGTCGCCCGAGTGTTAAATATTTAGACGTCGGTAATTCGAGCTTAGAGCATCGAAACAAATCGTCGGAAGTCGAGTCGAAGATAATAAGAAGACGAGTCGAGAAAAAGTAATAAATCAACAATGACCAAAATACCCCTAGCATCGGAACATCGAGTGCTAGGGGGTATAGCCGAGCTAGCAGCTCGCACCAAGTACGGGGCTTGCTAGCAAGCTGCGGCTAGCAGCCCGCACCTAGTGTGTGGCGTGCTAGCATGCTGCAGCTAGCAACCCGCACTAGGTGCGAGGCAAGCTAGCAGCAGCACGCACGCAAGTGCAGGGGCCTGCTGGCCAAAGGTGCTAGCAAGCAGCCCGCACTTTGTGGTGCATGGATAGCTAGGTCGAGGCTAGGGGCAGCAGCAAAATGAGAAGCCCACTTGGGTGCCTTGGTGCCCAAGTGGGGGTTGCCATGTGGCGCAAGGTGAGGGAGAGAGTGGGGAGCAAGTTTGGTCCCCATCTCCAAGTGGTCCTCACCTACTCCCTCATGTATGCTTGACACTTGTTGATTTGTTACTAGTTTGCTTAATAATTTTATTTTAGCTTTAAAATAGAATGTGAAAATCTCATTGCCCCACATTGATGGGAGAGATTTTCATACTTTCATCATTCCCTATAAATACCCAACTTGGGGCATTGGGAATAATGTTTCAGTGGGAGTTAAAAAAAGCATTCCATAATTTTGGGAAAACTCTTAAACTCATATAACACTCGGGTTTTGGTCGGACCTTGCTAACCCCAAGGTAGCGGACCTTAAAGTTGTGTTCGCCTTTTGTGGGTCGATACCGTTGGAGGCGCGGCGCTTGACGTGCTCGTAGCTTTCAAGTAAGAGCCCCGGTTTTTGGGCGAAGCTCGCTTCGAGGGTAAGATTCGTTATCTTTTCTTTGTGATTATTTATTTATGCTTTATGATTTTAATTATTGCGATTGGTTCCTCGGGTCGGGGTTTGTTTCCGTGGTGAGTCGGACTCACTAAACCCCAACAGTGGTATCAGAGCCCCGCTCATTTATTTTTATAATCATGTTTTTCAAGGTTTATTTTGGCTTAATTTTCTGGTTTAATTTGCTAATTAGATTAGTAGCTCGGTTTTATTTATTTTAATCCCGTTTTCAATGTCGAGTTTGGCCCAAAACCCAGATTTTCGCCCAAGACTACTGAATTTTGGGTGGAAAACGTGTTCTGGAAAGGTTTTTATTTATTTTAATTAATTTTGTTTATTTTAATTAAAATTTTGGGAGGCTAGGCCTCGGTTTTGAGCGGCATTGGCAAAATTTCATTTTGACAAGTTTGGGTGCTACCGACTTAATTAATTAGATTAATTAAGGAAATGCGGAGTTTAGTGGGAGCTTCAATTATTAATGACATAAATTATATAATCGGTTAAACAACTTTGACTAGTTTTAATTAGGCGTGTTAATCGGATTAACCACCTAGATTAGTTACTAGTGCGCGCGTTGTTTAAATGCATTTTACTTTGTTTTAATTTGTAAATTGCATGGGCAATTCACAAATAGTTAATGGATGAATAGAATATATATATTCTCTCTCACAGGTTTTATGAAATGGCAACTAGTGGGACCCAACTAGGATAGAAAATACGGACTACGTGCCGTTATGTATTTTTGTAAATCTAAATACGGTCTACGCATCGTTAAGTATATTTGTACTTTAATATTTAGATCATTCCTAGTTGTAGACACTAGTTTTTGCATAGTTTGGTTAAGTCTTGAAGACGGCGTATCTTGGAAGACAAAGCCTTGAATTGCAAATGAAGACCTTTTGAAGATATGAAGATCTCAAGGGGTCATGCTAGTTGCCAATATGCATCTATAATTTCGCTTTATATTTTATGCTTATATATATATGTGTGAATTATTCTTTAGATGCATGTTTAGGTTTTCTTGATGTTGCGATGAATAGTTAAGTTCACTTAAACCAACCAACATAGAAATCCTAGGTCCCTAATAATATTGAGTCAAACTTGCCTTTCCAAAACAACACTTACTAACCTAACGAGAGTGATGGTAGTCTACGCCAAACCGAGGTGCCATCACTTCTCCAAGGGGTATAAGGCACACCGGGTGTGCACGTTGGTTTTGGTTTAACTCATCGGTATGAGTGAGGAGTCCTCAAATACCGTGGCAAAAGAGATACATCGTCAAAGATGCATTAGATGCGACGATTATCTAACCAAGAGTGGCTTAGAGCCATTAGCAAGGCAATGCTTACCCTAGAAGATTGAGTGTTTAAGACAAGCCAAAGCATGCTTAACCACTCTTTGTTTTTTCGGATCTTGGAATCGCCTTATTTTCACAAAATAGGGACAAATTTTACGTGTGAATAAGACGTTAAATAAGTATTGAAAATTTGCATGAATAAAATTCAATCTTATTTAAGTATTTTTGAATGGTTTTTTCATTAAAATTATTTCAATTGTAGAATCATGTCTTCAACTAATGACAACGACCTTATGTACCCGGAACTTTCCGAAAAGTTACCATTTTTGCTCAATTTGGTGAACTTCAAGGAATGGGAAGATGAACTCCGAAAGACACTCAGTAATTGCTACCTAGAGCATATCTTGGACACTCCGATCTCGAGTTTCTACTCGAAAGGGATCATGAGTGATGAAGCTCATGAAGAATGGAGTATAGATTGCAAGAGAGTTTCTAAACTCATGGCAAACTCCATCCCGGATCAATGGAGAGGGGTTTTCTCCGGCTATTTTCCGGACATGATGCTCAAAGCTCTTGAGGATGTAGTCAATATGAGGGTCACCAAGAGTGCTAGGGGCAATTATGATGGTCATGTGGAGAATGTGACTAGGTCACTCTCCAAAATGAGGATCAAGCCACCGCAAGAAAGATGTCTCTCGAAAGAAAGACAAGAGGTATGGGAAAAGTCTACAGTGCGACACTTAGGCCCGGAATGCCACTTCAAGGTCATGTAATTAACATGACAAGGTTATTCAACCATCTGGAGCTAATTGGCAAACCAGTGGAAGACGAGCAAGCGGCTCACATGCTTCTTAGCTCTCTTCACTCGGGGTATGTGGGTCTTAAGATGCGTCTCACCGCCAATAGGGATACACTGTCCTTAAAGGAAGTCATCCAAGAGCTCCAAAATATCTATTCTTGCAAGAAGGCTAACTTTACACTTAGACCAAGGAAGAAGGAGTTCAAAGACAAGAGGAAGATGCGCTGCTTTTATTGTGGTAATCCCGGACACTACAAAAGAGAATGCGGCATGTATCTGGATGATGAGGCGAAAGGAAAAGTAACCTCAACCTCAGGTATCATCTTATACACTTGAATATAAGAAATTTTAAAAGGTATTAGATACCGAAAATTGACTCACAACACACTCCTTTTTCAGGAACTAAGTGAGCGGTGCTTTCACAAGAGGAATCGAGTTCGCAAGTAGGATGGAAGTGATCTATCCAAGAGAAACTTGTAATCTCATGATTTGTCTAAAGAAGTAGAACTTATTTAGTTTTATCTACCATACTTTGATGTATTTCCGACGTTGGACGTCATTTTCATCAAAGCAAGACCCTTTGTTTTGATGTCTTGAACATATTTATGGAATGACACTTTCACGTGTTTTTAGACAAATGTTTGATACCAATACAAAGAAATCTAAGACTACACAGTCCAGTCAAACTTACTTGTGGCATTGTCGCCTTGGCCTTTTCTTCACTCTGGGCAAAGTTTGATTCGCCTCATAAGTGGGATATTTAAACCCCTTCTCTACTAACCCTCTTCTAGGTTTTCCTAATTCCTTCCCTAATAAAACTTGTTGAAAATTAAACTTTCCTAAAATAAAACCCCAACTTTTAAATAAAATAATTAAATAAAATTTCCTTTAATAATAATATTAATTAAAATACTTTAATTAAAATAATTACAACCATTTAAATACTTTATAAAATACATACTTTATATAAAATGCGTATAAAAATACGGGGTATTACAGTCTACCCCCCTTAAAAAAGTTTTGTCCCGAAACTTGGGGAACGAAATTCAAACCTTTTTCCTTAATATGTATAGTATTGTTGTACTTTTTGTCACTCCTTTACTGTTTTATGTCTCTTTGAGACCATAAATACTCAAAATACTTGTTCAAATTCGTGCAAAGAGCATAAAAATAACTGAAATATAGGGAAAAAGCGCGAAATTCTACCGCATTCTACCCCCCTTAAAGAAAACGGGTTACGCCCCCGTAACTCTACATACCTGAAACAAATCTTGGTATTTCTTTTTCATTTCATCCTCTGCCTCCCAGGTGGCTTCCTCATATTCTTGGTTAGACCAAAGTAATTTTATAATCTTAACGTTCTTGTTGCGTGTACTACGCAGTTTACTGTCAAGAATCTTGACAGGTCTTTCTTCATAAGTTAAACTTTGATCTAACTCGATGGTTTCGTGCCGTAGCACATGGGATTTATCAGGGATGTACCTTCTCAATTGGGACACATGAAATACATCATGTACTTTACTACGCTCCATAGGTAAGGCTAACCTATAAGCTACTTTGCCTACTCTTTTTAGTATTTCATATGGACCGATGTATTTTGGACTAAGCTTTCCTTTCTTCCCAAATCTCATCACTCCTTTCATCGGTGAAACTTTTAGTAACACCTTATCGCCGATTTCAAATTCTTCTTCTCTTCACTTTAAGTCTGCATAACTCTTTTGGCGATCTTGAGCTGCTTGGATTTTAGATTGGATTTCTCTTACTTGCTTGACTGTGTCCTCAATCAACTGAGGCCCAAGAATCATAGTTTCACTAATGTCTTTCCAACAAATTGGACTTCTACATTTTCTCCCATATAAAGCCTCGAATGGTGCCATTCCTATACTTGTGTGGTAACTATTATTATAGGAAAACTCAATTAAATCCAAACTGTGTTCCCAATTTCCTTGGAAGTCTATTATACAAGCTCTCAACATGTCCTCCAAGGTTTGGATGGTTCTTTCGGTTTTCCCTCTGTGGCAGGGTGAAATGCTGTACTCATCTTAAGTATGGTACCAAAGTTTTCATGAACACTCTTCCAGAATTTTGAGAGAAATCTGGAATCCCTGTTAGAAACAATATCTTTTGGGACTCCATGTAACCTTACTACATGCTTGATGTAAGCCTTAGCAAGTTGCTCCATCTTCCAAGATTCTATCATTGGAATAAACACTACCGATTTCGTAAATCTGTCCACCACTACCCTAATGGTGTCATTTCCACACCTTGACTTAGGTAAGCCAGTCACGAAATCCATTGAAATGCTATCCCACTTCCATCCTGGGATTTCTAATGATTGTACAGTCCCTTGAGGCCTCTTGTGCTCTATTTTCACCTTCTAACATGTTAAACACTTTGCTACAAATTCAGCAACCTCCTTTTTCATTCTAGGCCACCAAAACATCTTCTTCAAATCCTTATATAACTTGTCTCCTCCCGGGTATACTGAGTAAGGTGTGTTGTGTCCTTCTTCCATCAACTTTTTCTTCACTTCCTCACATTTCTGTGGTACACACCATCGACCTTTGTACCCCAAGCTCCCATCTTCATGAATTTTGAAGTCTATAGCTTTTCCTTGCTTAATTTTCTCACGAATCCTATCCAACTTTACATCCCCTTCTTGGTTCTGTCGAATCACATCGAATATTGTTGGTTGGATACTCAGGTTTGCAAGAATACCTGCTGGTACTCCTCATTCCACGATTTTTAAATTCAATTTCGCCATTTCTCTGCATAACTCATTAGCTACTACTAACGAGTTTAATCCATAACTAGTTTTACGACTTAGAGCATCCGCAACCACATTTGCCTTCCCTTCGTGGTATTGTATGTCTAGATCGTAATCCGTCGTATACTCTAGCCACCTCCTTTGACGAGAGTTTAAATCCTTTTGGGTGAAAATGTACTATAAGCTCTTGTGGTCTGTGTAAATTCTACATTTCACTCCATACAAATAATGGCGCCAAATTTTCAGTGCTAAAATGATGGCGGCTAATTCCAAATCATGAGTTGGATAGTTTACCTCGTGTGTTTTTAGCTGCCTTGATGCATATGCAATCACCTTTCCATTTTGCATAAGCACACACCCCAAGCCATTCTTTGATGCATCACTATATACATCATACAGTCCACTATCATCTGGAAGTGTAAGCACTGGTGCTGTAACTAATTTGTGTTTTAAGAGTTGGAACGCCTCTTCACACTTTTCATCCCATTCAAACTTCTTGTCCTTCTTCATTAGAGTAGTCATAGGTTTAGCAATCTTGGAAAAATCCTTAACAAAACGCCTATAATACCCTGCTAAACCTAAGAAACTTCTCACATCAGATACTGTTTTGGGTGTTGGCCAGCTCTTAACAGCTTCTATTTTGGCTGGGTCTACCTCTACCCCGTCCTTGGACACAAAGTGTCCTAAGAATGCTACCTTCTCCAACCAAAACTCACACTTAGAAAATTTTACATAAAGATGGTTTTCTCTCAATATTTGCAGAATTGTCCTTAGATGTTCTGCATGCTCTTCTTTGTCCTTTGAGTATACCAAAATATCATCCATGAACACCACTACAAACTTATCCATAAATTGATGAAACACTCTATTCATCAAATCCATAAAGATTGCTGGAGCATTCGTCAATCCGAAAGGCATAACTGTAAATTCGTAGTGTCCATATCTTGTCCTAAATGTCGTCTTAGGAATGTCCTCATCGGCAATTCTCAATTGGTGATATCCAGACCTCAAGTCAATTTTCGAAAACACTGTGGCACCCTTTAGTTGGTCAAACAGATCATCTATCCTTGGTAAGGGATACTTATTCTTTATGGTCACCTTATTTAAATCACTGTAATCAATGCACAGTCTCATGCTTCCATCCTTTTTCTTCACAAATAGAACTGGTGCTCCCCAAGGGGAGACACTTGGTCTAATGTACCCTCTGTCCAACAAATCTTGTAACTGATCCTTTAGTTCACTCATTTCTGCAGGTGTCGTTCTATATGGTGCCTTGGATATTGGGGTTGTTCCAGGTACCAAATCTATGGTAAAATCGATCGCCCTTTTTGGTGGCATCCCAGGGATCTCTTCCGGAAACACATCTAGAAATTCGTTGACCACTTTTATGTTTTCTGGCTTTGCCACCTGTTCATGGTTCATATCCCTAACGCTGCAGAAGTATACTAGATGTCCCTTCTTCATGTACTTTGCTAATTTTAACACTGATATTATCCTTGGACACTTTGTTTTACCATCCATCCAGTAAGTCACTTATTCATTTCCATTTGTGGTCATCTTCACTTTCTGTGATCTACAACTAATCTCAGCGTTATACTTACTTAGCCAGTCCATCCCCAAGATAAGGTCAAAGTCGCTCAGCCCAAACTCCATAAGGTCAGACGGAAATATCTTTCCCTCTATTTCTAAAGGCATGTTTCTGAAAGTTTTGGTACAATTCACTACCCCACCTGTCGGGATGGTTATAGGTAAATCTACTGCCTCTACTATTTTTAAGCAATCCCTAAGTTTTGAAACAATACCCTTAGAAACAAAAGAGAAAGTTGCACCAAAATCAAACAATACTTTAACAGGAATAGAGTTAATAGAAAAAGTACCCGTGATAACATCTTTCGTGGCCTCTGCCTCGTGCCTACTCAAAACATTCAGTTTCCCTGCAGTTCCTCCCTTTTTGTTGGCTGTTACCATTCTTGGTGTTACTGTTTCTCGCCGCATTCTATTGCACTCCCTTATTCTCAGAAAAATTGTTGTTGTTCCACTGGAAATTCTTCTGGTTTCCTCCTGAGTTATAGTTGTTCTGTTTATTCCCATTAGCATTCTTGGAGTAACACTCGTACTCCCTATGCCCCAGTTTGTTGCAAGCGCGACAAGCAACCAAATTGCCTTCACAATCCCTCCCGGGTGATTGTTCCTACACCTCTTGCAGAAGTAAGACCTTCCATTCTTATTATTCCCCTGGTTATTGTTTCTAGACCCTCCATTGTTGCTAAGTCCCCCTTGGCGGTTATTATTCTGGAAATTATTATTATTGGGGAAGTTATTGTTATGGTGGTACTTCTGCTTCTTAAAACCATTCTGGTTTCCCTGTTGGTTTCCAGAAACTTGTCCTACCTCCTTCCTCTTCTCTCTCCCTTCTATCTCAGCTAGCTCCTTCTTCTTCTTTCCTTCCAGAGCATAAAGGTGTGCGGCCCTTCCATATACTTCATCCAGGGTCTCAAATACCTTCCCGCACAACTTCAAATGCAGATCAGTAGTTAACCCACTCTCAAACTTCCTAGCTTTTGCTTTCTCCGTGGAGACGGATCCTTCAGAAAAACGGGACAACTCAATAAACTTGGTGTAATATTCCGTAACTGTCATCTTATCCATTCTAAGGTTTGAAAATTCCTCAGCCTTCTGCTTCTGCAAAAAGCTAGGATAGAACTTGTCTCTCACTTTTTCTTGGAATTTGGTCCAGTTGAACCCAGGTAACGCTCTAATGGTAGCCTCATTTTGTTTCCACCAAAGGTCAGCTTCACCCTCAGATAGTAGGTAGCACAACCTACTTTGGAGTTTTCAGGGCACCCCACAACTCCAAACAGTTTCTCAAATTCCCTTAACCAGTTTTCCAACACCACAGGATCAGGCTCGCTCTGATAGGTTGGTGGCTTGCTTTGCATCACCTTTTTGAAGAGCTCCCCTTGAGCATCCCCGTTACCAGTTGAGTTCCTTGCCAATTGTTGGGCAACCGCTGCCAATTGTCTCACTACATCATTCAAATCATTTCCACCACTACCTTAACTTCGTCCCCCTGCCATTTGGTTTCTCCTGAATATAGGACAAGGATGACTATTAGAAATGTCTAGGTTTAGCTCTCAAGACGAACACCCTCATATATATTAACAAATCTTTTAAACATCTAAAGTAAAATGTGAAGCTAACAGTTCGGGATAGCGATTGCTAGAATTTTCCTTAATATAGCTCTATCAATTAATATTGATTGCTAACCAACCATCAATTAATAAGGCATCACAATAAAATAAAATAAAAATAATCCCCCTGGACGTTTGTGGTTTATCACTGGTTTTTGGAGATAAGTTGATTGGAATGGTGATTAGCATTTCAATAAATTGCCTGGAATCAAAAACTGCTCAAAAATCGTATTTAACGCGTTGTTTCTACTTGAAAAACACTACTTTTTCATCAAAATCGGAGGAGTTTAGAATCTGATCGGGATTAAAACGAGATTAATGTTAACGAACGGAAATCTAATTATTTGCGTGTTCAAATAGTGGTGTGAAATGGAATATTTGTAAAATAAAAGAATTTATAAATAAAAATTTATCAAAAAATAATTAAGGTTTATTAATTAAAATAGACTGAAGATATTAAAATAAAAAAAAAATGTGTTCCAAAAACGGATGTGGTCATGCCACTTATTTGCTTAAACTGAAATAACAAATAAAAATTTTAAAATAAATAATATGAACTCTTTGCGAGGAAAGTCATAAGATTTAATCCTTTCAAACGTTGTCCCTTTTGTCGGTGGATTGCTTGTAGCTTGAAGGATCGAAGTTAGAATCATTTTACTCTTCCATTGGTTCAGGTGATTTAGGT